ACCAGCCATGGCCACCATCAAACCTTTTCGCGGCTGCCGCTACGACGTCGCCGAAGTGGGCAACCTATCAGCAGTCATCTGTCCGCCCTACGACATGATCGGACCGGAACTGAAATCCGAGTTGCAGCGGCGCAGCCCCTACAACGCGGTCCACCTGGAGGGCGGCGAACAACCCGATCCGGTGGACCCGCAGGCCGGTTACCAACAGGCGGCGGCCTTGTTCGAGGGCTGGCTGGCCGAAGGCAAGCTCTGTCGTGAGGACGCTCCCGCGTTCTACGTGATGCGCCACGCCTACAACTTCGGCGGACGCCATTACCAGCACCTAGGCCTCTTTGCCGACATCCTGGTTGAGGATTACGACGCCGGCGCCGTCCTTCCCCACGAGTTCACCCGCGAGCCCTCGGTGCTGGACCGCGTTGCGCTGCTGGACGCCTGCCAGGCCCAGTTCAGTCCCATCATGTCCCTGTATCGCGATTCCGAGGGTGGCCTCCGCCGAATCCTGGACAATGTCGTCGCCGGGTCCCCGGATGTCTCGGCCACGACTCCCGCCGGCGGCAACGCCGAGTTCTGGTGTATCACCGACGCCGACACCCAGGCGACCGTCATCGATACCTTCGCCGGCCGGCCCATCTTCCTCGCCGACGGCCACCACCGTTACGAAGCCGCGCTGCGCTATCGACGCAGCCGGCCCGACGCCGAACAGTCGGACGACCTCGCCGCCAGCAACTACGTGATGATGACCCTCGTCGAATTCGACGACCCCGGGCTCCTGTTGCTGCCCTACCACCGGGTCGCCGGCGGCATGTCGGCCGAGCAACTTGATGCCGTGCGCGCCAAAATGGGCGAGTATTTCGAGGCGCGTCCCCTGAACCCTGCCGTCACACCATCAGCGGCCGTCGCCGAGGTTGCCCGTATCGGCGACAACTCCCACTGCTTCGCCGTCTTCTGGGCGGATGCTCCACCCACTATCCACACCCTGCGTCCCGAAGTTGACTGGGCTTCCTGGGGCCCCCTGGCAGTATCCGAAGCCTGGGTACTGCAGGAGCGGGTGCTGTCGCCGGTGCTTGGCGACTCCCTGGCGCAGTGCATCGACTACAGCCCCGATCACGAGGGCATCGTGCAGCAGGTCAACGTCGGCGAGCAGCAGGCCGCGATCCTGCTCAAGCCCTTCCCGCTCGAACCGTTCCGGCAGATCGTCAGCGCCGGCAATCGCCTTCCGCCCAAGTCGACGTTTTTCTACCCGAAACTCCCCACCGGCCTGGTGATCAACCAGCTTTCGGGGAGCATCTAGACCGCGAGGTGACGCCATGACCACAACCGCGCTGCCGACCCAAGCCGCCGCACCTGCGCGCCGCCGCTTCACGGTCGACGAATACTGTGCGATGGCCGACGCCGGCATTTTGGGCGAAGAAGAGCGCATCGAATTGCTGGACGGAGAGATAGTAGTAATGCCCCCTATCGGAGCGCCGCATGAAGACGGCACGACACGGTTGAGCAGCGACCTCATAACCCGATTGCAAGGTCGCGCTTGGGTACGCGTGCAGAACTCGGTACGGATCAACGATTATGGCCTGCCGGAACCGGACATCGCCATTGTCCGGCTGCGTGACGACTACCATCGGCAGCGGCCCACCCCGGCCGATGTGCTCCTGGTGACCGAGGTGTCCGACAGTTCCCTGGAATACGAACGCGACGTGAAGCTCCCGCGCTACGCCGCTGCCGGCATCCCCGAGGTATGGATCGCCAACGTGCCGGCGCGGCAGGTGGAAGCCTTCCACGACCCCGTGGATGGTGTTTACCAGAGCAGTCGGATAGTGCCGGACGACGGCAAACTCAGCCCCCGGGCTTTCCCCGACGTGGCGCTGACGGTGGGCGACTTCCTGCTTGGTTGATGTTGCGGCCCAGTGCGCCAATGCAGGCCCGCCCGGAACGAATTCGTAAATCCTGCCAAGTCGACGTTCTTCTACCCGAAACTCCCCACCGGCCTGGTGATCAACCAGCTTTCGGGGAGCATCTAGCCCGCGAGGTGACGCCATGACCACAACCGCCGTCACGCCAGCGCCAACCGTTGCCGTGTCTCGCCGTCGCTTCACCGTCGACGAATACTGTGCGATGGCCGACGCCGGCATTTTGGGCGAAGAAGAGCGCATCGAATTGCTGGACGGAGAGATAATCACAATGGCGCCCATCGGAAAACCGCACGCAGATGGCACCGACCGCCTGGGTGGGGACCTGACCTATCGGCTGTATGGTCGAGCCCGAGTTCGAGTGCAGGGCCCGGTGCAACTCAATGACGATGGTCTGCTCCAGCCTGATATAGCAGTCCTGCGGCTGCGCGACGATTACCATCGCGAACAACCCACCCCGGCCGATGTGCTCCTGGTGATCGAGGTGTCCGACAGTTCCCTGGAATACGACCGCGACGTGAAGCTCCCGCGCTACGCCGCTGCCGGCATCCCCGAGGTATGGATCGCCAACGTGCCGGCGCGGCAGGTGGAAGCCTTCCACGACCCCGTGGATGGTATTTACCAGAGCAGTCGGGTAGTGCCGGCCGAAGGCAAACTCAGCCCCCGGGCTTTTCCCGACGTGGTGCTGACGGTGGGCGACTTCCTGCTCGGCTGATGCGGCGGCCCAGCGTACTCATGCGGGCCCGCCCGGAACGAATTCGTAAATCCTTGCTATAATAATCGCCGCGTGTAAACAACTGCACGCTGTTATCCGCCGTCCCAAGACGAGCCGAATCGACGACGAACGTCACGCCATCGCGCAATCACAACCCCCGCGTGACTCCCAGGAGCTTTCCCAATGACCTTGACCAAGATTGAGCCCCAGAACCTGCGTACCCCCGGCCCGACTCCCATCCCCGAGGACATCGTCGACGAGATGTCCCTGCCCATGATCAACCACCGGGGTCCCGAGTTCAAGGAGCTGATCGAGGCCACCACCAACGGTCTGAAGCAGGTCTTCATGACCACCAATGACCTGTACATCCTCACCTCCAGCGGCACCGGCGCCCTGGAGGCTGCGGTGGTCAACACCCTGTCCCCCGGCGATAAGGTCATCGCCGCCACCGCCGGCTCGTTCGGCGACCGCTTCGTGCAGATCGCCGAGGGCTATGGCGCCGACGTCATCCGCATGGATTTCGAATGGGGCGACGCCATCGACCCCGAGGCCATACGCGCCGAGCTCCACAAGGACCCGGAAATCAAGGCCGTGCTGGTAACGCACAACGAGACCTCCACCGGCGTGACCCATGATCTGGAATCCATCGCTCGGATTGTCAAGGGCGAGTTTAACAAGCTGCTGCTGGTTGACGCCGTTAGCAGCCTGGGCTGCATCCCCCTGCCGGTGGACGGCTGGAATTGCGACCTGGTGGCCACCGGCTCCCAGAAGGGTTTCATGATCCCGCCGGGGCTGGCCTTCATCAGCATCAGCGCCCGCGGCTGGGAAGCCTATGAGGACGCCAAGATACCGCGCTTCTACTTCGACCTGATGGCCGCTGAGCGTTCCCTGTCCCGCGGGCAAACCCCGTGGACTCCCAACGTCGCCCTGCTCTACGGACTGCGGCTGGGGCTGGACCACATCCTTGGCGAGGGCCTGGAGAATGTTTACGAACGGCACGCCGAGGTCGCCGCGTACTGTCGCGCCGGCGTCAAGGCCCTGGGTCTGGAGCTCCTTGCCAACGACGAGTCCCGCGCCTCCAACACCGTCACCGGCATCAAGATGCCCGCGGACATCGACGGCGGCAGGTTCATGTCGATGATGCGCGAGGACGAAGGCGTGGTTCTCGCCGGCGGCCAGGGCAAGCTCACCGGCCACTGCTTCCGCATCGGCCACCTGGGCTGGGTGACCAAGGATGACATCACCGAGGTGATGGAGGCCCTGGAGCGCGTCCTTCCCAAGGTAGGTTTCAAAGGCTAATTCACACACGACATTCCGCAGGGGTGAGTGATCATTCGTCCCTGCGCGTATCCGTTGTCATGTCTTCTGTTTCTCAACTGCAACAGGCAATTGCGGCCCTCCGGCTGTCCCTGGCGGAAATTCGCCACAAGGAAGAACAGCTGGACGCGAGCATCGCCCAGTTCCGCACCCAGTTGCGCCGCCTGCCCCGGCAGACCATCTACGGCCGCGCCCCGCTGGACATGGCCCTATCGGCAATGGGCGAGATCGAAGAGCGGCTGCAGGACGCCGAGGACAACCATCGGCGCGTGCTGTCCATCAAGAAGGCGGCGTTGGACGAACTCGCCGCCCTGGAATCGGTGCAGCAGGTCGATCAGGCTCGCAAGGAACTGGCTCAACTGAAACAGCAGGCTGGGCACAACGGCGCGTCAGGGGAATCCGCCGCGGAAATCCGCCGCCTCGAACAGTTCATAGCAGAGCACAGCAAGCGCGCCGAGTTGGCGATCACCGCCAGCTTCGAGGAGCGGCGCGGCCAGCGTTAGCATTTGTCCCACGACCCGGTCGAAGCCTGAAAAATGCACGCCGCTTTCCACCCTCGGGCCGGCCGGCGGGCCAAGCCCCAGCGCGTTATTCGCAGCCCATTGCACAATGTTGGCGGCAACGCCAGAAAGGATCGCAGGAGCATCACAGCATGAAAGCATCCTATCTTGGCGCCATGGGATACGCCCACCGGCGGGACTTCCCGCCCACCTGGCCCACGCCGCCATCGTACAGCGACCCCCAAACCTCGGTGCAGAGCTACCAGGATGGCATGGAAGAATGCGAGTTCGCCGAAGAAATGGGCTTCGAGTGGGTCAGCTTCTCCGAGCACCACTACTCGGGCCGCATCGCCACCGGAACGCCGGCGGTGATGGCTGCCGCCGTGGCCGAGCGGTGCAAGTCGGTCAAGATCGCCATGCTGGGCCCGCTGCTGCCGCTCAATAACCCGGTTCGGGCGGCCGAGGAACTCGCCTTGCTGGACAACATCACCAACGGCCGCCTGGTGATGGGATTCCTGCGCGGCACGCCCAACGAGGACCAGGTGTATGGCGTTCATCCCTCCGAAGGCCGAGGCCGGCTGCTGGAAGGTATGGACCTGATCCTCAAGGCCATGACCGAACCCGAGCCCTTCTCCTGGGAAGGGCGATATTACAAGTACCGCACCGTGGCGGTGTGGCCTCGTCCGGTGCAGCAACCCTTCCCGTCCGCCTTGGTGGCCACCCGCAGCGACGACGCCGTGCAATACGCCGCCGCGCACGGCATGGGCCTTGGCGTATCCTTCGTGCCCGCGGAACAGGTGGCCGGCATCACCGACAAGTACCTGCACTGGTGCGACGAGGCCGGCTGGCAGCCGGAACCGGACCAACTGGTTTTTCGCGGCAGCATCTACCTGGCGGAAACCGACCGCCAGGCGCAGGACTGGTTCCAGGCGCAGACCGATCAGGGTCGCGCTCCCGGCATGGCCCTGCGCTCCTCCGTGTCACAGGTGATCCAGGCCTCCCGCGCCGGCCACGACGTTGACTACCGCAACGTGTTCGCCGGCAGCGCCAGCGGCGACATCGTGGGCGGAGCGCCGGGCCTCACCTTCGTCGGCGGTCCCGATACCGTTTTCGAGCAGATCAAGGCCTACCATGACCAATGCGGCACCGGCGTCATCGACCTGTTCTTCCAGCAACCGAGCTTGACCCACCGGGACGTCATGACCGAGATTGACCTGTTCGGCCGCGAGGTCCTGCCTCGCCTCAAGGAGTTGTAGCCGTGGCGTCGGACCAGATGCGTGAGACCGTCGTCATCGTCGACGGGTCCGAACAGCCTTCGACCAACTTGCGGGATGGCCTGGCCCAACGGTGGTTGATCCTGGAACCGCGCCTGGATGACTTTACGGCCGGGGCGGAGGAACAACTCGCCGCTGCGGTCGGCCCATTGGCATCCGGACAATACGGGCTGATCGGAGTTTCGGCCGGCGCGTCCGTGGCCATCCAACACGCCCGGCGTTCCCCCGAGCGGGTGACGGCGCTGGTCCTGGTGGCGCCGCTAGCGATACGACCCGCCGGAGATGCTCTCAGCGGTGGCGCCACGGACCTGGAAAGCAGTCTCGGCGAAATCCAATGTCCCACTCTGGTGGTGTTCGGCCAGGCAGACACGCGGGTGGCTCCCGAGGCCGCCAGCATCTACCGCAGCCGCATCCCCAACTGCAACATCGCCTTCGTGTACGACGCTGGCCACCACATCGCCGCCGAACGCCCGCAGGCCCTGCTGAATCTCGTTGGCGACTACCTCGAGAGGCGCGAGACCTTCATCGTGCAGAACCGCAGCGGCGCGATCAATCCCTGACCGCCATCGCTAGTCCCCTGGCGCGCCCGCCCGCTGGCCGTCCTGCAACTCGTCGATCTGCTCCCGGGTGCGACCGTAGATCTGCGGCACGTCCCAGCCCTGCAAGCCGGCGTAGGTGTCGATCTGGGAACGGTGGTGCACCTCGTGTTCCACCAGCATCATCAGGATCCGCCAGCCGCTGAGCATCCCGTCGGTGTCGATCATCTTGATGCGCCGGGTCAGCCAATCCGTCGGCGTGTCCTCGAGGCGGCTGCGAAACTCGGCCGCCGACGCGTCCAGCGCGGGAACCCAGTCGTCGATCGACGCGGTGCTGGGAACCGGCCAGTCGTAAAGCCATCCCTCGTTGCGGTAGGCGCGCGCGAAGTACATCCGCGACTCGCAGATGTGATGCACGATCTGTGCGATGCCCCAGGCATTCTCACCCTCACCCGCCGGTGGCGTCCACGACTCGGCGGGGTCCGGCAGCGCTTGGATGTCCCGCACGGTGCGGCGGTGTATGCCGTCGAAATAGCGCAGGAATTCCTGTGGGTCGGTTAGCATGTTCCAGTGTGCTCCTGGGGCTTCAGCCCTCGCCTTGGCGTCGCAACTCTTCTCGCAGTCGTTCAACTTCCACAAGAGCGGCGTCTCTCTCTTCGCGTGCGGCGTCGCGTTGGTCCCGGGCGGCGATGCTAGCGGCTTGTTCCGCCCGCCAATTCCGCTGATACGTTCCGTCCGCCGGGTCGTACACCAGCGGCCAACCGTCATCCCAGCACAGGCTGATGCCCAGCAGCGGGCTGTATGCTTTCAGGATGCCGTCGGGTTCGCGGGTCAGCGGCAACTCGCGATAACTTCCGCCGACCAGTTCGCCGCCCCATAGAGGCTGCCCGTGATACCGACCGCCGCTAGGGTCGAAACGCCAGTATTCCGGCACCCCGATGGCCGCGTAGATGTCGGGCTTCCGTCTGGTATCCACCGGCGCGGTGCTCTCCGACGCGACCTCCAGGGCGAAGTCCGGCGGTTTGCCCGCCTCCCACGGCAGGTATATCCGGCGAGGACGAATCGCCTCGGCGTCCACGCCGAAAACCAGGTACACGTCCGGCGCGACCCGCACGTTCAGGTTGCTCGGATCGTAGCAAATAAAGGACCCGTCATCCAGAAACACGTCGGGACGGGTGTCGAATTCGGTGAACCTGGCGGCCAGCAGGCCCGTGATTTCCCGTATCTCGCGGTTCTGTTCCATGTGGTCTGGCGGCGTTTCCTTTATGTCGGGTTGGAAATCCAAACTGGCATAATCAATGTCACCCTGCCTTCGGTAGGGCAACATCGGGGTGTCAGGCGGTGTCTTGCGGGTTGCCATCATCTACCTCCGGGCCAAGCCAGTTGTCGCGATAGTGTAGAATCGCGCATCCGAAACCGCAAGCGAGGGCGAAGCCATGAAGTATGACGTGATCGTTGTGGGCTCCGGTTCCGCCGGATCCGTGGTTGCCAGCCGTCTCTCCGAAGACCCCAACCGCTCGGTGCTGCTGCTGGAAGCCGGCCAGGACTATCCCAACGCGGACCATCTCCCCGACATCGTCCGCGACGGGTATTCCAACGAGGGCGAGCAGCCCGGGTCACCGGTCTCCTGGTCGTTGCGCGGCACCATCAACGACCAGCAGGGCGAGATCAACATCGCCCAGGGCAAGGTCATCGGCGGTTCCGGTTCCATCAACGGCCAGGTCTATCTGCGCGGCCTGCCCGAGGACTTCGAGCGGTGGGCATCCTTCGGCAACGAGGAGTGGACTTACCTGAAAGTCCTGCCCTTCTTTCGCAAGGCTGAGACCGACCTCGACATCCAGGACGATTTCCACGGAAGCGACGGTCCCATCCCCATCATCCGCCGCGAGAACCAGCCGTGGCCCGACGTTCAGAAAGCCTTCCACGCCGCCGCCCTCGAACGCGGCTACGCCACCAACCCCGACCTCAACGGCCCCGACTCGGCGGGCATCGGCGCGATTCCCATGAACAACCAGGCCGGCGTTCGCATGAGCACGGCGATCACCCACCTGAATCCCGTGCGCCACCGCCTCAACCTCTCCGTCAAGGGCAACGTCTTCGTCCGACGGGTCCTGTTCGATGGCGCTCGCGTCGCCGGCGTGGAGGCCGAAAGCGGCGGCGAGATTTTCAACGTGGAGGCCGATCAGGTTGTGCTGAGCGCCGGCGCGTTGAAATCTCCCCACCTCCTGATGCTGTCGGGAGTGGGCCCGCGCGACCAACTTCAGGAGTTCGGCATACCGGTCATCCAGGAACTGCCCGGCGTGGGCCAAAACCTGTTCAACCATCCCATGGGCAACGTTTCCTTCCAGGTCAAGGACCATGTCGAGCTCCACGCGAACGCCGGCGCCTTGCGCTTCGGCCTGCGGGTGACTTCAGAGGCGCCGTCTCACCCGAATGATGTGATGCTGCACACCCTGGGCGTGTTCAACGTCATGACCGGCGAGCATCTGCCCGACCGCGTCGCCCGCATCGCCTGCGCCCTGGAGCTGCCCGACGGTTCCGGCTGGGTGCGCCTGGCCTCGTCCGACCCCGCGCAGCAGCCGGAGATCAACTATCGCTACCTGCACAACGAGAACGACCTGCGGCGGATGCGTGAAGCAGTCCGCCTGGCGGCCGATATGCTGGAATCCGAGGCCTACCGGGACGTGCTGGAACATCGCACCGCGCCCACCGACGATGTCCTAGCCGACGACGCCGCGCTGGACGTCTGGATCCGGCAGAGCGTGGGCACCTCGCGCCACGTCTCGGGCACCTGCCGCATTGGCCCCGACGCCGATCCCATGGCCGTGACCGACCAGCAATGCCGCGTCCGCGGCGTGCAGGGCCTGTGGGTGGCCGACTCGTCCATAATGCCCCAGGTCACCCGCGCCAACACCAATGCCACTGCCATCATGATCGGCGAACGCGTCGCCGACTGGATCGCATCGCAATAGACAAAAAATGCAGGAGTGAATGATTATTCGCCCTTATTACTCTACAGCTGGACGGAGTACTGTCGAATTAGCTTCCGTTCAATCTTTAAATGCCCGGCCGCAGATTGTGCTGCGTCGCCCGCTCGTAGGCGTCGCCGACTTGCACTAGCAGCGGCTCGGCGAGGTGCTTGCCGATGAACTGGATGCTCAGCGGCAAGCCCTCGCTGTTCAATCCCGCCGGCAGCGAGATCGTCGGCGCGCCGCTGAAATCGTAGGGGACGGTGAAACCGGCCCCACGTCCACTCGTCCTCATCCATGGGTCCATACAGTTCCTCCGGCGTGACCCGACCCGGAGGAGTCATCATGGACGGGCACACCAGCACATCAATGTCCTCGAATATCCCCGCCAGGATGCCGTTGCACGCCAGCCGCACCTGGTTGGCGGCGGCGAATTCAGCCGCGCTGTAGCGGTGTCCCTTCTCCAGCCAGCCCCGAAACCACGGGCCATAGTCGTCGGCGCGCGCCGGGAAGGTGTCCCGATGGCCTGCTGCCGCTTCCGCGGAGCACAACACGCCCCATGCGCTGGAAAACGGGAGCGTGTCCGGCATCTGCACGGCGACCAGCTGCGCCCCCATGCTTTCGAGCAAACGCGCGCCGGCCAGGACCGCTTCGGCAACTTCGGCATCCACCTCGTCGCCAATGTAGCGTTCGTCAACGCCGATGCGAATTCCCTGGACGCCCTGTCCCAACCCGGCCAGCATGTCCGGCACAGGAGCATGAAGCGACGTGGGGTCGTTGGGGTCGTGCCCTGCCAATGCCTGCAGCATGATCCCGGCGTCAGCCGCGCTGCGGGTCATCGGGCCGACGTGGTCCAGCGACTCCGCCAGCGCCAAGACCCCATACCGGCTGACCCTGCCCCACGTTGGCTTGATGCCTACAGTGCCGCACGCCGCCGCGGGATAACGGATCGACCCGCCCGTGTCACTGCCCAAAGAGCCGTAGCATAGGCCGGCCGCGGTGGCCACTCCCGAGCCGCTGGAGGAGGCGCCAGCCCAACGGTCCGCGCCCCAGGGGTTCACCGGGATGTCGAACGACGGGTTGTATCCCGCCATCGCGCCCTCGGTGAGGTTCAGCTTGCCCAGGATGACCGCGCCGGCGTCGCTCAGCCGGCGGACCACAGTGCCGTCAAAGTCAGGCACGAAGTCGCGCAGCGCCTGCAACCCGCCCATGGTGGCCACGCCGGTGGTGAAGCACAGGTCCTTCACCGCGATGGGTACGCCGTGCAGCGCGCCTTTGTACTGCCCGGCGGCAATTTCAGCCTCGGCAGTTCTTGCCGCTGCCATTGCCGGTTCCGCCATGACGGTCACGTAGCTCTTCAGCTCCCCGTCCAGCGCGGCGATGCGGTCCAGCAACGCCTGGGTCAATTCCACCGGCGAAATCTCACGCGACCGGATCCGGGCCGCCACGTCGGTGATGGTTTGGTAATGCAGCGGTGTGTCCGTCATGGCGTGTCTCCTCTCGGCTAGGCCGCCGGTTGTACCAGTTCGATCAGCACGTCATCCGGACCTTCGATGTACGACAGCTTCGACCCCGTCGGCGTCTCGGTGATGGGCAACACCGTGCGGATGCCAGCGGCGGTGAGTCGCGCCATCTCCGCCTCGAGGTCTTCCACATCGAACCCGAAGTGCTCCAATCCCAGCCGGTTCAACTCCGCGACGGCGCGGTCGTCGGACGATCCCGGCGGCTTGGACGACACGTTGAGCCGGCACTGCCCGCCCATTTCCATGCCGATGGTGATGGTGCGCGGCATCACCTCCCGCTCAGAGACGATGCGGGCGTTGAAGTGCTTCTCGTACCACGCCGCCGTGGCGTGGGGGTCCGCGGCGCGGATGTGTACGTGGTTGATGCGGTATTCCATGGTTGGCCTCCCTTCAGGCGTTATTGGAGTAAATGGTCAGCATGGCAGCGATGAATTCCTGTGTTGCCTCCCAAGATACAATGAACTCCTCCCCCACTAGATGGCCCCGGTCAGCGTGGACGTGAAGTTTATCGGCATGGGACCAATTTGGTAGTAAAGCCCGACTATCCAACACTTCCACCGCGATTCGCCGTAGAACGTTCACCTTTCCTCCGGTGGTACCTGGGTTGGAACCTCGTTGATTGGCCACCGCATTGATGCATTGTTTTGCAGACTCGTACAGCAGCGCGCCAGCGCAGTCGGTGTCGGCGTCACGTTCCAAAAGCAAATTGGCCTGTTGTTGGTAGTTGCGCGCTCTGGCCTCGTGCTGGGTTGCTCGCTCCCTTTGCCCTTCAGTCGGCCCGTTGATCATCTAGACATTCCCTGATGAACTGTTCGGCTGTTTCGTAAGCCAGTTCCAACTGATAGCTTTCCAGCACGTCCATTTCGGCGTGGTCTTTCAGGAGTGAGCCTGGACCAAGCCCACTGCGATAGTAAAACTTAGTAACCGAACCATTCGCTTCCAAAGCTCTGGCAACTCCGATCAGGTCGATGTAGTCGAGGTTTGGACACTTCACGCCGTGGGCGTCGGCCAACACAACAAACGTGGCCTGAGTCGCCTGCCACATCAGCGCTGCGGCTTTGCGGTGGTTGCCTCCCGCCCGCTCCCTCTTGGAAGCAGCCACGTATTCCAGCGGCGTCAATTCCATCGCTGGCGCACTCATCTCACCCCCCTCCCTCGCGAGTCCCAATCGTTTTGTCGCCCAATCTACGGTGCATTATAGCAACGTGCCTTGCTACTTAGCGTCGTTCGCTTGTCGCGACCCTGGGTCCGTCGTTTCTGCACAAACATGAACCCAGCAGATCCTTTCAATTGGGGCAAATTGGCGGTCAGGCTCCCTTTGCCCGGCCAAAGCACCCGAATTGTGGAGAACTCGATGATCCCGCTCACTTCCTGGGCCCATCCAAAGTAGATCCGTCATTCCTACTTTCGCACGAATCCACTGCCAACCCCACTAAATGCGACCTGGATTCCCATCTTCGCGCCGATGGTCTCGAGATTCCAAACCACGATGACCTGGACTTTGGAAATGCCCTGCCGCACTTACCGTTCCGGTTGCCCCCGTTCGGCGCCGTTGCTACACTGGCCGTGTCTTGACCCCAAACCACCATGCGCCCAGCGCGACCACCAGGAGAGCACCATGATTTACGAAGTACGCACCTACGACCTCAAACCCGGCGCCGTCGCCCAGGCGGAGGAAGCCTTCGCCGAGGCGATTCCCCACCGCGAAAAGTACTCCCCCATCGCTGCCTTCTGGCACACCGAAATCGGCCCGCTCAACCAAATCATCCACGTCTGGGGCTACGAGAACATCGAGGAGCGCAATCGCATCCGCGGCGAGGCCGGCAAAGACCCCAACTGGCCGCCGAAGATCACCCCCGGCAACATCCTCAACATGAACGCGGAGATCTGGAACCCCGCGCCTTTCATGCGCCCCATGGGCGGCGACCAGGCCCTGGGCGACATCTACGAAATGCGCGTCTACACCTACGAGAACGGTTCCATGCCCGAACTTCTGCGTCGCTGGGAGGAATCCCTGCCCTACCGCGAGGAGTTCTCCCCGCTGGCCGCCGGCATGTTCACCGAGTTCGGCGACCTGAACAAGTGGATGCACGTCTGGCCATATAAGGACCTCAACCACCGCGCCGAGGTCCGCGCCGCCGCCAGCAAGATCCCCCAGTGGCCCTCCGGAGCCCCCGGCCGCGTCAAGCAGGAGACCAAGATCATGGTGCCGGCCAGCTTCTCCCCCATGCACTGACCGCTTCATCGGTACCGTCATTCCCACGCAAGCGGGAATCCAGTGAAGAGAGCGCAACCAGTGATCGACCGGCGCGCGTGCCATCTACAGCAGTTTTACGAACTACTGGCTCAGTTGGAACGTAACCTCGGCGGCGCGCGCCGGCTGTCGGAATGCAACGGGCGCACGGGGTGGCCTCGAAGTGGCGTCTATTTCTTTCGTGAAACCGGGGAAATCCGCACCGATACTGGCCGTGGCTCCCGCATAGTGCGGATGGGAACCCACGCTGTGAAAGCCGGTTCCGGCGCCAAACTCTGGAATCGGCTTTCACAGCATAGGGGCACGGTCAAAAACGGCGCCGGCAATCATCGTGGCTCGATTTTCCGATTGATTACCGGCGCTGCCCTGATGGAACGGGACAGCTTGGCTTGTTCATCTTGGGGAAAAGGCAACAACGCGCCCAAGGAGGTCAAAGGGAGCGAGCATTTTTTGGAGCAGAAGGTCAGTAATGTCATCGGCGATATGCCTTCCTGTGGCTGGCAGTGGATGATGAGCCGGGGCCGGGCAGTTTGCGGGGCTATATTGAGCGTAACGCCATCGCGTTGCTCAGCAACTATGGGCAAGAACCGATTGATCCGCCATCGCCGGGGTGGTTAGGCCATTACTCCAACCGGGAGCGCGTCCGGTCGTCCGGCCTCTGGAACTCCAACCACGTTGATGACGACTATGACCCGGCATTTCTGGATACTATGCAGCAATTGATCGAACAAATGGGAGCTGCCGCTCATGGCCGATAACATAGTCGTCATCCAATGCGCTGGCCGCAAGCAACCGAATGCTGGTCATCTCCGAAACAACGACGGGCGCAAGGTGATGTTCGTTGCCAGCCCCGATAACGCTCCAAATCACGCGCCGTATGCCTACGCCCATCCTGACGGCGCCGACGATACCGGCAAGCCGTGGCGCGAGAAGCTGTTGAGGTATAACGACATTCATCGGGGTAATGCAGATGACAATCCCCTAGGATTGTTGCCGGCCTGGCAGCTCTACCAGAATCCAGCCTACGAGTTGCTTTACTGGAAGTACGGGCCGGATGGCCTTTATATCCTTTCGGCGGGGTGGGGGTTAATCCCAGCGGATTTGTTGACTCCACCCTATGACATCACGTTCCAAAGCCGCGCGGAAAAATACCAACGCCGGTACAAGCGGGACCTCTATGAAGATTTTCGTATGCTGCCAGATGACACCGCTAATCTGTTGGTATTTTTGGGCGGTAAAGACTACGTGGGGTTGTTCTGCGAACTGACTAGCCGGGTGCAAGGGCCACGCTGTGTATTTTACAATTCAAACACTGCACCCAAAGCCTCGGGTTGCCAAACCAGAAAGTTCAACACCAATACCAGAACCAACTGGCACTACGAAGCCGCCCGCGCACTTGCGAACGGGCACATAGAGCTGTAAAGATCCATGCTAGCCACCGACCGCGTATCCAACATCTTCGCCGACGCCCGCGCCGTCCACGCCGACGCGCTGCGGTTGCTGGAGGCCGGCGACATCCGCGACGCTGCGGAAAAGGCCTGGTGCGCCACCAAGCAGGCCACCGATGCCCTGATCCTGGCCCGCACGGGCACGGAACCGGAATTTTCGCCAGACACCACGCGCGGCTTGGTCAGGATTGCCGCCGTAGACAGTGCCATCAACCCGTTGGCGGGCCGTTACTACTCCCGACAGGGACATCTGCATGGAACCTGTTTTTATTTGGGAGACTGTGAACCCGTGGATGAGGTAGAGCGGCGCATCAGGCAGACTGCCGACTACATCAGCGACGCCGCCAGGCTGGCCGGTTATTCCGACGCCGCCTGAAACATAAGGCACGTTCACCCCATGCTAGCCACCGACCGCATATCCGCCATCTTCGCCGACGCCAGCGCCGTTCACGCCGACGCGCTGCGGTTGCTGGAGGCCGGCGACATCCGCGACGCTGCGGAAAAGGCCTGGTGCGCCACCAAGTGGGCCACCGATGCGCTGATCCTGGCCCGCACGGACGAAGCGCCCGAGTTTTTCTCGGATACCTCTCGAGGATTGCTCATGCTGGCTGAAGCAGACAGGGCGATCAATCCTTTGATCGGACGCTACTACTCAAGACAGGGCCACCTCCATGGTGAATGCTTCTACCATGGCATCTGCGAGCCGGTTGCTGAAGTGGAGCGACGCATCCGCCAGACGGCCGACTACATCAGCGACGCCGCCAGGCTGGCCGGATATTCCGACGCCTCCTGAAGGAAGGGGTGAAGCCCAAATGGTAGCCACCGACCGCGTTTCCGCCATCTTTGCCGACGCCCGCGCCGTTCACGCCGATGCGCTGCGACTGCTGGATGCCGGCGACATCCGCGATGCTGCGGAGAAGGCATGGTGCGCCGCCAAGCGGGCCACCGACGCCCTCATCCTGGCCCGCACGGACGAGGAGCCGCAAATATCCTCCGATACGGCCAGAGGGCTGGTGAGGCTGGCTACGGAAGACCAGGTATTCCGCGCTCTGCGCAGACGCTATCATTCCCGACAAAGCACGCTGCATGGCGACTGCTTCTACTTGGGGCTCTGCGAGCCTGTTGACGATACTGAACGCCGCATCCGCCGGACCGCCGACTACATCAACGATGCCGAGCGATTAGCTGGCTATTCCAGCGCAACCTGACTAAAGAGGGTAAATCAACATGAAACTCCTGACCTACGACAACGGCTCCGGCCCCCGCTGCGGCGTCCTCCAGGACGACGCCGTGGTCGACGTGGCGGCCCTGATCGGTTCCGACCGGCCCTTGCCCGATGTGCGCGCCCTGCTGGATTCTGGCGACGGGGCCGTTGACCGCGTGGGCGACGCCCTGGCCGGCAGCGTGGCCGCTCCCGCCGTGGCCCTGGCCGACGTGCGCCTGCGTGCGCCGATTCTCCAGCCACCCACCGTGCGCGACTACATCGTTTACGAGGAACACGCCACCTCCCAGGGCACGCGGGTGGTTGATCCGGTGTGGTATCGCATGCCGGTGTTCTACTTCTCCAACCCGCTGGTCATCTACGGCCCCGACGAGGACGTGCCCTATCCCGCCGCCTCCGAGCAGCTGGACTACGAGCTGGAGATCGGCTGCATCATCGGGCGTTCCGGGAGCAACGTTCCGGCGTCCGAGGCACTGCAATATGTCGCGGGCTTCTGCATCTTCAACGACTGGAGCGCGCGCGACCTGCAGTTCGATGAGATGACCTTCGGCCTGGGCCCCGCCAAGGGCAAGGACTCCGCGTCGTCCATCGGCCCGTGGATCGTCACCACCGACGAGATGATGCCCCACATCAAGGACGGCCGCCTGGACCTCAAGTGCCACGCGCGGGTCAATGGCGACGACTGGCTTCGCGACGGCGAGGCGGTCAACGCGTGGTACAGCTGGGGCGAGATCATCGAGCGCGCCGCCAAGGACAGCCGCATCGCCCCTGGGGACGTCATCGGCAGCGGCACCGTGGGCGGCGGTTCCGTGCGCGAGTCCATCCGCAAGGGCTACGAGACCTCCCGCTGGCTGGAACCGGGCGACACCGTGGAGCTGGAAGTCGAGAACATCGGCGTCCTCCGCAACACGTTGGCGCCCAAGGTCGGCGTCAACGCCAGTTACGCCTACCTGCCTAACAACCCCACCGCCACGCCCGATCGCGGCACCGCGCGGGACTACCGCTACGAGCGGACGCGCTGACCTTTCGCGGGCGTCATTGCGAAGAGCGCGGCGGCGTGGCGATCCAGTAGCAGCAAGTCAAAGACTGAGGGGCAACCAAAACGGTCGCCCCTCAGTGCGCCTGTGCCTGCAGTGTCCTTAGTCCGGCGGGGCGCCCCACCGGTCGTAGCTGCACACTTCGTTCAGCGGCAGCCGCGTCACCGGCCCGAAATTGCCCCGGGGGTACCCGAAGGGCATACAGTACACCACCTGGGCCGTGTCCGGTATGTCGAACAGCTCGTGGACCCGCTCCTCTACCACCGCGTGCAGCGTGGCGATGGTGCCGCCGATGCCGAAGGCCCGCGCCGCCAGCAGCATGTTCTGCGCCGACGGTATCACCGACCCGGCGGCCTGGGCTCCCTTGGACGTGGCGCAAACCAGCACCATGACCGGCGCGTCGCCAATTTCGTTGGCCATGCGCATCGCGGAGCGCATGGAGTTGCGTCCCGGCGGGATGTCCTGCGGGCCCATGATGCCAGCGTCAGCCCGCTTGGCCCACCAGGCTTCGTGATATAGCTCCGCCAGCTTGCGGCGCGTCTCCTCGCCCTGCACGACGATGAAATGCCATTGCTGGTTGTTGCCGCCGTTGGGCGCGCGGATCGCAGCCTGCATGATGTCCTGCATCACGTCCGGCGGGATGGGGTCCGTCTTGAACCGGCGGATGGCCCGCTGAGAGAACATCGCTTCTCCCAAGGGAATGACGTTCAGTCGGTCGGCGGTGGTCACGTTGCTACCTCCAAGTTTGAGCGCTGCGCCCGATGTTACCACAACCGCCGTGCGCCCCTTGATATAATGACCCGACACCGCAGGTTGCCCATCGATCCGAATGCCCCATGGATCCGAACGCCCATGGATCCGAACGCCCCATCGAACCGGACGCCAGGAACAGCGATGACCGTGAACAATTGCGATCCACGCGCCCTCGACGTGGCCCGGGCTCTGCACGAACGGGAAAAACCCAAAGCGACCATCCTATTCGGCTCCCGGGCTCGTGGGGACTACGACGACCGACGTTCCGATATTGATATCATGATGGTCAATCCCGGGATGCCTGACCAGCCCTACAAAGACCGAACTTCTGAATGGGCCGAGGGTGTCGCTCAGATGACTTACGGCCGGTTCGTTCCCGTCCAGCTCGTCTGGTTTTCGCAAGACGTGTTCCGCGAGAAAATGCGGTACATCAACCACGTGACGACCCAAGCCTTGTTAGACGGAGTGGTCATGTCGTCCAACCCAGAGGACTACCAAAGCCGCTACTCCGAAAGACGCAACTCCGACGAATCGTGCGAGAGCAGCTACGAATACGAGTGGACGGACTACGACAACCGGGTGTACCACGCCGAGTCACACCTCAGGATATTCAATACCCTGGTTGACTTGGGAGAAATTGACCTGATGATAGCCCAACGCGCCCACTCAGCGTTGGAACACGCGATGAAGGCGGTCGTGGCTGCCCACGGCGGGACCTACCCCGCCACTCATAACCTGGCCCGACTCATCGGGACCATACGCAGACTGGACGACGAGCTGAGAGAATTCAGCCTGGGCGTATCGCCTGACATCTATTCCGAATACGCCGGAGACTTGGAGTATCAGCTGGAGCGAGCAAATCCGCTGCTCACCGAACAACCCAACTATCGCGAATTAACCGTCGCCGATGCTCAACGTCTGATCGACCGCGCTCGCGCGGTTCGCCAGATCCATGACAAGTAGACCCGGGAGGACATCTTGAACCAGCAGAACATCTCGGACGCGGAACAGGCCTACCGTAACCTGGGCGTTACTCCCATCATCAACGCCAGCGGCTCCGTCACCCGGTTGGGCGGCTCCCGCACCCGGCCCGAGGTGCTCGAGCAGATGGCCGGCACCGCTCGCGTCATGGTCAACATCGACGAGTTGAACCGCCGGGCCGGCGAGGAGATCGCCCGTCTGGTCGGATCCGATGCGGCCATGGTCAGCAGCGGGGCCGCCGGCGGGTTGCTACTCCAGGCCGCAGCCTGCATCGCCGGCAACGACCCCATCAAGATGCAGCGCCTGCCCGACACCGAGGGTATGAAGAACGAGATCATCATGCAGACCATGCACCGCTTCCCCTACGATCACGCCTACCGGGCCGCCGGCGCCAAAATCGTCGAGATCGGCAACTACCTGTTCAACCATCCCTGGGAGCTTGAAGGCGCCATCAACGAGCGCACCGCCGCCGTCGCTTACCTATGCGCGCCCTTCACCAGCAAGCGGGTCATGCCCCTGGCGCAGGTCTGCGAGATCGCCCACGACCACGACGTGCCGGTGATAGTGGACGCCGCGTCCATGCTGCCGCCCCGGTCCAATCTGCAGCGGTACCTGCGTGACGGCGCGGACATGGTGATATTCAGCGGCGGCAAGGGCGTCCGCGGACCCCAGGGCAGCGGCATCCTCTGCGGACGCGCCGACCTGATCGATGCCGCCCTCGCCAACGCCAGCCCGGCCCAGTTCATCGGTCGGTCGGCCAAAGTCGCCAAAGAGGAGATCGTCGGCCTGGTCACCGCCCTGTCAATGTTCGTGGAAGAAGACGAAGCGGCCGAAATGGCTCGGTACCGCAGCCTCGCCCAGCGCGTGGTGGACAGCCTGATCGAGGTGCCCGGCCTCAACATCAGCCTGGAACACGACGGCATCGACTACCTGATACCCAACGCCGTGCTGCGCCTCGGTGGCGACTGGTCCGGTCCCTCGGCGCCCCAGGTCGGCGCCGCCCTGCAACAGGGCGATCCGCCCATCTACCTGCAACAGCTCCGCGCGCCCGACGAGCTGATGGTCGATCCCCTGAATGTCAACGAGGACGAGATCGACATCATCATCCGCCGCCTGCGGGAGGCTTTGACTGAGGGTCGATGACGTGAGCAGAGAGCTTCCTTACGCAGAGAGCTTCCTTACTGCGGCTCTTCTCCTTGCTGGCGTAACTGCTCCCGCAACCTCCGCACAATATCGCGGTATTCCTGGTTCTCACGCAGGGTGTCATCCCGCACCCGCTCAGCGGATTCCTGTGCGCGTCGGGCCGCGAACCTCGCCTGCTGCGCTTCCTCCATCGCCAGGCGCACCCCACGCCGGTCCAGGAGAATCTCTCCGGTGGCGGGGTCCTGCAGCTCGACCTCTCCGTTGTTCCAGCGCAGGTTCAGCCGCAATAGCGGGCTGTATCCCCAAACAACTCCGTGGCCGGCGACGTTGATCGGGAACTCGCGGTAAACCCCGCGTTCCAGGTATTCGCCCAGAAGCGGGGCTCCGTACATCTCGCCGCCGCTGGCGTCAAATCGCCAGTATTCCCCAACACCCATTCGCGCGTACAGGTCGCGCTTGTTGCCAGTGTCCTGGGATGCTGTCGACTCGGACGCCACCTCCAGCACGAAATCTGGCGGCTTGCCTACTTCCCAAATCAGATAGCCGTTGCGCCGACGGATGGCACGGGCGTCCACGTCAAACGCCACGTACACGTCCGGCTGGAGCCGGCGGTTGCGGTCGGTGGGGTCGTAGTAGACGATGGTATTGGTATCTGCAAAGGTGTCGAGGCGGTCGGTGAGCAGGTCGGCGAGTATCTGCATCACGTAAAGGATGTGAGGGTTTTGCTGCATGGCGTCCGGCATGGGTTCCGGATCCGGCAGTGACGGCGCATCCGGCCCGAAAAACGGGTCAAGGTTCGGGATTTTGACGCCGTCCGACGGCGCGTAGGGTGTCCTGATGGTCATGGTCGATTACCGATAGCGCGTGGGATGGGAAACGGCCAGCGCAAAAACCGCGCGGCCGTCCTCCATACGATCGACCGGCATACGATCAACCGGCCGAAATACCGCTCGAGAGGTGGTACCGCTACACCACCGCTGCTTCCTGGAAGTGCGGCATCACCTCGGTGGCGAACAGCTCGATCGAGCGCATCACCTTGTGGTGGGGCAGGCCGGCGAATCCGAAGTTGCCGAAGACGTGGTTGATACCCGCCTCCTGCACTTGCTTCAGCCGCTCGGCGACCACCTCCGGCGTTCCCCGCAGCGGCGGCAGGCCGGCATGGCCCACGTCGTCCCGCCGGTCCCGGTCCGACTGGCGGTTGGCCCAGTGCTCGTAACCCTTGGCGATGTTGCCGTTCTTGTCCATGGGCATCCCGATGGGCGCCCCGCTGCTGCCCACGGAGCGCAGTATGCGGGATGAGAAGTCTTCCAGCCCAACAGGGTCCCGCTCCGCCTCTTCCATGGTGGGAGCCACGTAAATCGACTTGGACATCGGCGGGTTCAGGTGCGCGTGGGGATGGCCGTATTCGTCCATCTTTTCCCGCCACAGCTTGATCACCTCCGGGGCCTGCCCCAGGATGTCAGTCGGCCCGCCGGTGATGACCTGAATGTTCCGACTGGCGGCGAAGTCGATGCTGGCCGGACTGGTGCTCACCGCCTGGAACAGCGGCGGATATGGCTGCTGAACCGGCTTGGGCAGTACCCAAACATCATCGACGTTGGTGTACTTGCCGTGGAAGGTCAGCCGTTCTTTCGTCCACGCCTGGATCATCACGTCAACGGCTTCCTGGAACCGCTCGCGGCTGGTGTCGATGTCCACGCCGACGCCATCGAATTCCTGCTGCTGGTAGCCGGCCCCGATGCCGAAGTTGATGCGGCCGCCGCTGATCACGTCGAGCATCGCCACTTCCTCAGCCACCAGGACCGGGTTGTGCAGCGGCAGGACGATGACCGCCGTCCCGATGCGGATCTGCTTCGTGCTCCCGGCCACGGCGCCCAGGAACGACCAGATGCCCGAGAGCAGCCCGTGACGGGAGAAGCGGTGCTCACCCAGCCAGGCCTCGTCCAGCCCGGCCTCGTCGGCGAACCGGATCTGCTCCAGCGCGTCGTTCAACGCCTGCGGCGGCGTGAAATCCTCGTGATAGGGAACAATGGTGAAAATTCCGAACTGCATAATGCGCCTCCTCGGTTGGCTGTGTTCAATACCGTTTGCCGATTCGCCAACTGGTCACTTGTAGCCACCGGCAGCTGTTAGCTTCCCGTGCGCCGCGCGATCATGGCGTCGGCCAGCGGGCTGGCTCCAGATTTCACCGATATGTTCACCAATGACGGGCGGCCCGAGTTGATCGCTCGCTCCACCGCCGGCCCCACGTCGTCCGGCTGTTCCACCAGTTCAGCGTAGCCGCCGATGCCCTCCACCACCTGGTCGTAGCGCACGCCCGGCCGCAGGGCCGTTCCCACGTCCCGCCCGAAGTAGGCCAGCTGGAAGGTGCGGTCGATGCCCCAGTTCCCGTCGTTGCCCATGATGCCCGTGATGTTCAGGTTGTGGCGGATGCAGGTGTCGTACTCCATGGAGTAGAATCCGAAGGAGCCGTCGCCCATGAACGCCAGCACCTTGCTGTCGGGGTAGGCCAGCTTGGCGGCCATGGCGTAGGGGATTGCCCCGCCCAGGTGGCTCAATGGCCCCAGGCGCATGAAGTGTCCCGGCGACCGCGCCGGCAGGTAACACCGACCCCACTGCACGTAGTCGCCGCCGTCCAGGACGATGAAGGTGTCCTCGTCCACCAGGTGCTCGATGCGCGTGTACACATCCAGCGGGTGCATCGGCGCGTCGCCGGTGGCGTTGCTGCGCAGGCTGTCCAGCCAGGCCGTTTGCTCCTGCTTCAATTCGCTGAGCCACGGTCCCCAGGTTGCGGTTGGGCTTGGCCGCCGCGGCCAGTTGGTCCACGATGGCTCCCAGGTCGCCCAGCAGGCCCACGGCAACGCCCCGGTTGCGTCCGATCTCCGCCTCGGACGGGTCGGCCTGGATGAGCTTGGCGTCGGCGTCGAAGATGCCGCCGTAGCGATAGCGATGGTCCAGCCGCTTGCCCAGCAGCAGGACCACGTCCGCCTCCCGAAACTTGCGGGCGGTGCGATTGAGCGCCCCGTCAGCGTAGCCGAAGCACAGCGGATGCAGGTCGTCGATGAGGCCCCGCGCCTGCTCCACGGTGAAGATCGGCGCGCCCGTGGCCTCTGCCAACGCCTCGAGCTGCGCCGGCTCGACGGAGTAGCGCGCCGGATTGCCCACGATGATGACCGGCCGCTGGGCGTTGGCCAGCAGGTTCGCGGCCTGCTCTATGAGCTTCGGGTCGCCCTGGGAGCGCCCCATGTTGCGGTACTCGTGGGGCAGGTACGGCGGCAGGTCCTCCTCGCTGATGGGCGCTTCCTGCAGGTCGATGGGCAGGGTCAGGTGCACTGGGCCAGGCCGGCCACTCATCGCCGTGCGGAAGGCCGTGGCGACGAACTCGGGGATGCGGTTCTTGTCGTGGATCATCCACGCGCCTTTGGATACGGGCGCGGCCATCGCCACCTGGTCGATCTCCTGGAAGGTGGCCTGGCCCTTCTCGGGCAATTCGGCGCAGCCGGCCACAAAAATCACCGGGCTCTCGGACGTGTAGATGGCGGGCAGGCCGGAGATGGCGTTGGCGAAGCCGGGACCGCCGGTGAACAGGGCCACTGCGGGCTGGCCGGTGATGCGCGCATAGCCGTCGGCCATGTGCATCGCCGCGCCCTCGTGCCGCGTGTCGATGAACTCGATGCCCTCATCCGCGGCGGCGTCCACCAAGGGCAATATCGTGTCCCCGACAATCGTAAAGACCTTCTGCACCCCTTCCTGCTTCAGGCAGCGAATGAACAGATGCCCACCATTCAACTCCGGCATAAAACGAAACTCCTCGTATAACATGGCCCTTCTATTGGGGCGTCGCCATCTTATCATAGGGCCTGCCCAGGCCTCCGACGGCACCGTGCTACAATCGCCTCACCAACCGCCTTCGGCGAGGTCCACCATGACCACCAAACCGACTCCAAAAACGCAGCCCGCCGGCGACAGCTATGGGCTGACCAGCCTGCCCGACCCGCCCAAGCCGCCCGACGCCATGCAGCAACGACCCCACATCGCGCGCATGGACCAGGTCCTGCGCGCCCATTTCGCCAACCGCCCTGACGCTTTGGTTTCCGGCGAAGGCTACCTGTGCGACCTGCCGGGCAATGCCCGCCGTTCGCCGAACCCCGATCTCCTCGTGTCGTTTGGCCTCGAGATTCCTCCCGACGTGATCGAAGACGAGGCGAACGGGTACACCATCAGCGAAATCGGAAAGCCGCCGGAGTTCGTGCTGGAGGTGGCGTCGGAGACCACCGCGCGTCGGGACGAAACCGTCAAGCGGGACACCTACGCCAGCTTCGGCATATCAGAATACTGGCGTTTCGACCGCACTGGCGGCCGCTACTACGTTGCCGCGCTGGCGGGTGACCGGCTGGTCGACGGCGCGTACCAGCCGATCTCAGTTGAGACCGGCGACGACGGCATCATCCGGGGATACAGCCCCGCGCTCGGTTTGGAACTCCACTGGCACGACCGTCGCCTCCGCTTCTGGAACCCATCGACACAAACCTACCTGCCCGACTTGAACGAAGCGTTGGCAGCGCTGACCGCAGCGCAGGAAGAGATAAGGCAACTACGCGCCGAACTACAGCGACAGCAGAGCCAGGACTGAACTGCGCTGGCGGTTCGGTCAGGCTTCCTGGATTATTACGTCACCGCTGTCCCAAGCTTCCACAGTAACTCGGCTGCCTTCAAGCAACTCCATGCCCAGCAGGGGCTGGTCTATGGATAGTAATATCTCTACCGGGTACAGGTGACCGTGCCACTCTACCCGCGATTCATAGTACTCTAGCGTATCTTCGAGACCGCTGGCGAGGATGCCTTGACGTTCGCCCTCGCTGACCAGCCCAAGCCGCTCAATGTCCGCTTCCGGCAGCATCAACCAGCCGGTGAATCCGGTGTCCAGAATGACCTCGCATCGTTGAAGATATCCGTTAGCGTCCATTACAGAGACGGCTAACCGCGGTTCTAACCCGCCTTGCTCGTTCCGCCCCACCCTACCGCTGACCACGTTTCACCAGCTTGATGCTAGGGTGTATTTTGTACGTTACCAGCACGTCCACCCATTCCTCCCAAGTGTAGGCGTTGGGCCGTCGTTTCCTCAGGCGTTGGGCCCCGTCAATGTGCCGGTCGGCAATCTCGTAGTCACCGCTTTTCACGTCGATGACCACCACCTTGCCCTTGTGCTCCGGCCCCAGGGTAGGGTGTATCTTTTCGCGGTAGATGGCGCGGCCAATGGCCGGCGCGTCCGATTCGTTGAACGCCATGATTATCGCTCCACGCCGCATGCCGCTCTGCTTAACGCGCCATTCTAGCACGAGGCCGCGCAGCAGATGCAGGCGGTTGAAGAGCGGTCAACTCCGGGCAGTGCGACGCATCCTGCGACGAGTATCACCCGTCTTTCCGCAGTGTAGATGGCGTGCGGGCCGGAGACAGCGTTGGCGAAACCGGGGCCGCGTGTCGATGAACTCGATACCCTCGTCCGCGGCGGCGTCAACCAGGGGCAATATCGTGTCCCCGACAATCGTAAAGACCTTCTGCACCCCTTCCTGCTTCAGGCAGCGAATGAACAGATGTCCACCATTCAACTCCGGTATAAAACGAAACTCCTCGTATAACATGGCCCGTTTGTTCGGGCCGGGCCATCTTATCACGCGGGGTTAGTGAGTGGCGGAATCTTTTGTTTTCGACTACGTTTGTAGGCGCCGCTACTGTCGCCGGGTTAGGTCATTGGCATCTACTTCGTACCCCGCGCTCTGCAACTCTTGAACAAGCTTGAATTTCCAACCGTCTGAGTCATCCATCTGGATGTACAACACGCCGGAGTGGTCCGAAGGGATTTCGACATCGCTTTTGATCAGAGCACACGCCCGGTGGCGCCCCAACTTGCCAATGAAGTACCCAAATTCGAAGATCACATTTTGCCGGGATCTGGGCCTGAGGTGTTTTGTGTCGTCAGAAAGCGCTCCTTGATCATCGGGCGAAAAAATCGCAACCGCGAACTGAACTTGTGCGTAATCTTCAATTTTTTCGATTATGGTCCGGCCTCGATTCGGAAGTTCTTGCAACACGATCGGTTTGAGACCTAAGTCATCAATTAACCTGGCTACCGTGTCTTTGATCCCAATGTCCCGACCATGAATGATGAATATCTGATCGTTCATCGTGGCTTGATTTCCAGCAGGATCGGTCGCCTCTTTCTTTCGTCGTACCCGGACCGGTGGGTTGCTTAAGGGTGGTTCCGAGATCTCCATCAGCCGAGGTTCTATGCCTGTCAATTCGATTTGAAGAGATTCAGGCCACAGAGCCTCGTTTAGTTCACGCACCATCCTATTGATTGAACCGCGGTTCCCCGCATGTTCTTTAGGCGACCCAAGCCGCAGCAGCAGCCTTTCAAAGTCATCCGTGCCATTCAGGCTGTTTACAACCGTGGGAACCGGATTGGAATTCCTAGGTATGCTGCCCAAAACATCAGGATCAACAGTGACTCCGGAACGTATAAAAAATTCCGCGAATCGAACTTCACCTTGAGGGTCGTAAACAAAATACTGTTTGGTTATGATTTGGGTTATCGCCCTTAATGTAACACTGTCCAACTTTTTCAATATTACCCTCCAAGCTCAAGGCCGCAAACCAGCAAATGTAACCAAAGAACCCGGATTGACCTGATTATAGCAGGATGGAGGCAGCGTTTGAGTGCGGTTGCGTTCATACCACTTATGACCACTCCTGCAGATCCAACGATCAAAAGGTCCTTGGTTCCGTACGCGTTATACTCTCATCCGTGGGCACTCTCTACGTAATTGGCACTCCCATCGGGAATCTGGGGGACCTCACCCTCAGGGCCAGCCGCATCCTGTCCTCCGTGCCCCTCGTGGCTGCCGAGGACACCCGCGTCACCCGCCGCCTGCTCGCCCATCTCGACGCGCACCCGCGCCTGCTCAGCTGCCACGAGCACAACTGGAAACGGCAACTACCCCGCCTGCTGGAGGCGCTCGATGAAGGCGATGTCGCCCTGGCCACTGACGCGGGCTCTCCGGCCATCAGCGACCCTGGAGCCGGCCTGGTCGCCGCTGTCGCCGAAGCCGGTCACTCAGTGGTCACCATCCCCGGCGTCTCCGCCGTCACGGCCGCCCTATCCGTCGCTGGTTTCCCCGCCGACCAATTCCAGTTCCTCGGCTTCCTGCCCCGCCGTCGTTCCAACCGCTCTACGACACTGACCGACGCCGCCTCGCTTGGGCCAGACTCTCGTGCTGTTCGAATCTCCTCACCGGCTTCGGGCGACGCTAACCGACATCGCCGATGCTTTGAACGACCCACCCATTGCGGTGTGTCGTGAGCTCACCAAGCTCCACGAGGAGGTCTGGCGAGGAACCGCCTCCGATGCCCTGGCCTACTTCGCCGCGCCACGCGGGGAGTTCACCGTCGTCATCGGTCCGGTCACCCTCGACGCACCGGATCAGACCGCCAGCCAGGACGAACTGCTGCAAACGGCCCGCCACACACTGGCGGAACACCGCGCCGCCGGCAAACGCGGGCGCGACGCGGTGGCCGAGGTCGTCGCCTCTACCGGCCTCCCGCGCCGCGCCGTCTATGCCCTGTGGGTTGAAACGGGCAGCTCAGATTCGGGGAACGCGGGGAAGCGCTAGGCGCAGACCACCACCGCTTCGCCGAGACCTTCGATGGAAATACGCCCTTCGGAGGCGAAGCCCAGCGGGGTAGGCGGAATGAGGCTTCCGGTAATCACCGTGTCGCCGGCCTTCAGGGGATGGTTCACGCGCCGACAGCTCGTTGGCCAGCCACACCAGCGGCTCGAAGGATGTGCCCATCACGTCCCGGCCGTAGCCCTCGCCCACCTGCTCGTGGTTGATGCTCATCACGCCCTTGCAACCCACCAGGTCCCAGGCTCTGCCAGTCCGTAACCGGATCGCCCAGCACCACGCCGGAGTTCAGGATGTTGACCGCCACGCTCATCAGCGTGCGCTCTTGTTCCGTGGTCAGATCGGCGGGCGTCCGCATGTCCACGATCTCGAAGGCCGTGGCCACCTCGGATACCGCTTCCGCCACCGAGTCCCTCGTGTAGGGGGCGCCCGACGCCGGCAAATCCTTTCCCAGCGTCACGCCTACCTCTAGCTCGATGCCCAGGTTGACGTACTCCGTGAAGTTTCAGCACCCACCGGCGAGCGCAGGATGGTCTTTTGGAACACGCCGCCCAGCACCGGATGGTTCAGCCCCGCCCGTTCCTGCATCACCGGCGTGGTGTACGCCAGCTTGTACCCCGCCAGCGGCCCCCACAGGCTGGACAGCATGCAGTGGAGTTCCAGCTGAATGGCGTAGGCTTCTTCCAGCGTCTTGGGAAACAGGTCGACCGGCAGCCGCTCGAAAGGCTGCACCTTGCGGTAGCTCTCGAATATGAACTCGGCGGCCGCGCGGGCCGGTGTCGTGGTTACCATGGTGCGCCTCCTGGGATAGTAGCTTTGGTCGACAGTCTGCTGCCATGCAGGAAACCGGCGGATGTTGACGTGCAAAAGTCCTGAGCAGTTATCGCCGCTCCATATTAGCAAAAGCCGCCGGCTGCCGGTTTGTCGTGCCGGCGGCTGGCGGCTCTAAGCGCCCGAATTCAGCGGCGCGGTTTTTACTTTGCCTCGCTGACGCCCTCAACCCGCAGTCGCGGTGCGTGCCGTCGCAGAAGGGCTTATTGTCCGACTGTCCGCAGCGGCAGAAGGAGACCCACTGACCCTCGGGAATGGTGTAGTTGTTGCCACTCTGGTCGACAATCTCAATCTCGCCAATGACCCGCAGCGGGCCGTTGCCCCGTATCTCTACTTTGACATCCGCCATTGTGAATCCTCCTCGTGGTTGCTGACAATTTAGCGACCGGCTATCGGTCCGCCGTGTGCCCAAGTTAGCGGCAAGGACAGCCGGCGCAGTGATTATTCACCAAATCGCAACTACGGTCAAATGCGGCGAGAGCGCACCCAGGGCAATCGCGTCTTATCCGAGGAGGACTTTGCGCAGGTAGTCCTCGTCCCATCCGGCGTTGAGCCGCTTGCCCTGAATGCCTACTTTCAAGGTGCTTTCGTTTTTCAACCGGTTGTGCCCAATCTGCCGCAGCGTGGCCAGGTTCTGCGGTCCATGGTCCTTGCGCACTCGGCACTGGTCTTCCCGAAAGGTCACGTCCAAGGTCCAGTGCAGCGAGTTTTCGATGCTCCAGTGGCTTCTGATGGCAGCCAGGAGTTGTTCTGCTGAGGGCTGGCAGGCTGCTGATGTAGTAGCGGGGCTGACTTATGCCACCCGCTCCAGTTTGACGATGGCCCACCACCCTGACGGCCGCCTTCAGTTGGGACCATTGCCCCTGGGGGTCCAGATAATCCAGGCAGTCCGTCGCCGTGATGGTCCAGCATTCCCGCCGTTCCACCCGTCCGTGTCCCTTGTCCACGGTCCGTGCATAATCGTAAGGCACCCCGTCAAAACCCCAGGCCTCGGCTCCCTGGAACAGGTCTCGGATGCCCTCATGCAACCGGCCCTGGTTCTCCTTCACCGCCAGCACGTAGTCGGCCCCGCCCGCTGTGATCTGCTGGGCGATCTCCCGCTGGCAGCCCATGGCGTCGATGGTCACGATGCAGCCATTCAAGTCCAGCATCTCCAGCAGTTGTGGAATGGCGGTGATCTCATTGGACTTCTCCTCGGTCTTGACCTGGCCCAGGGTCAGGTTATTCTGCGTGGCCCAGGCGCTGACCAGGTGTATGGCCCCCTTGTTCCCCGCCGGATCATAGGACCGTCGGGCCGTCTTGCCATCAATGGCCACCACCTCACCCGGCAGCAACTCGGCGATGGCCTGGGTCCAGGATACGAAGCTATTCTGCAACTGCACTGGGTCCAGGCGGGCGAACACATCGCCAAAGGTGTCGTGGGATGGGATACCGTGGGGCAATTCCAGGAAGGTCTGAAACCAGGCCAGCTTGCTCTTGCCGAAGAGTTCTATGTGGACCCAGGAATCGGCGCCGCAGATGGTGGCACAAATGGCAATGGCAATGATGTCCACCAGCTTATGGCGTCGGGTGCGTTCCACCCGTGGGTCGTCCAGGTCAGCGAAATGATCGAGAATAGTTGTTTTGGGTGGTTGTGCCATGCCTCACTGCCTCCATTTGGTTCAACGGATCATGGCACGTTAGCACATTTCTAAAAATACTATTAAGACGCGATTGCCCTGAGAGCGCACCCGACGCCAAAACGTAGGGGCGAATGATCACTCGCCCCCAGTTGATCGCAATGCCGATGTCCTTTACAGGTTCACCACCAAGTTGTCCGGCGTGCGACACAGGATGCCCTCCTGCTCTTCGTCGTAGGGGTTCTCCTCGATGTGCGGCGTGTTCGCCGGCACGAAGATGAAGTCGCCAGGCCCGGCCTCGATCCACTCCGCGAAGTTCTCGCCGAAATAGACCCGCACATGCCCTTTGATCACGTAGGCGGCGGTCTCCGCCTCGAGGTGTGTGTGCGGCGGCCCTTTTTCGCGCGGCGCGGCCGTCACCTTGCCCATCCAGATCTTGGTGGTGTCGCCCTTCCCCGGCACGACGGCCGGCTGGCGCACCATCCCCGGCGTCTGGACAGTTTCCGAGGCATCGCCCACCGTGTGCACCACGTAGGGCTTCAGGTCAGTTTGTTGTTCCGTGGTCGTCATCGTTTTTTTGCTCCTGTGTCGCGTCAGTCGGAGTGCCGTCGGTGCGGCGGGTTTGCCGGATAGTCTTCGCGGCGACCAGTGTCGCCGTTCTGAATGATAAAGTCGCGGCGGTCGTGATACAAGCGGGCGCGGTTCAGGACTTCTTCATCATCCCAATCCACCTAGTCGAAATGCGTCATCAGCCAGTATTTGTAATCGCCGATGAACAGGTACACGTTGTCCATCGCAAAGAAACGGCTCGGCACGCTTCCCCGTTGCGAAAGCGCTCACACACCGTCTCCAGCAACTCCCGCTGCCCGTCCTTCTGCAGCAGCACGTACTCATGCGGCCACGTCTCACGAGACGTCACAGCCTCCCGCCACGGGGCGTTGGCTATGAGTTCGGTGAGTTTCACTTGCGTATCTCCTGGAGCGCCTTTGCCTACGGTTCACAGTCTTGTCAATCTCCTTCGGGTGCCATTTCCCGCATCACCTTTTCCAACCGGGGTTGAAAGGCAGCTTTGAAGTTTGGCACCAAATCCAGCGCCCACCTTTGCAGCTCTGCCAGCTTCTCATCACGGTCTCCTATAGAGCCTCTTGTCACGAAGTATATTGAGCACATTCGTTGATGGTCCCTGCGATCCCACGAAACCCCCGGCAATTCCTTTTCTATTTCTTTCCGGTGCCGATCTAGCGCATCGAAAATCTCTTTGTTACGTTCTTGGTCAGGCGTGGCGATCCACAAGTACACGTCAAGGGATGGTCTGCCACCAAAGCTGTGCCAAAAACCGACATGGTACTCGATGCCAGCAAACCCGCTGGGAAATACCTGGTCGTTGCTGACCCCAGACATTTTGCGATCAGATATTCCAATGGCCCACAGGTCGGCCACCAAGGGCCTAAAAAAGGTGTTGTATTTCTGATTGATCGCCGGATATCCATACTTCGGCCATTCCACCCTCTGGTTGGGCCCGACAATAGGGTTCAAGCGGCGCTCGATAGTCTCGCCATTGCGCCAAGCGCTCATTTTCACCCCGTAAATCCGCAGCCCTGTGCTGCTATTGAGCCAATCAATAGTCCGCCGGTATCGTAGCGAGAACCCGCCGGCTACCCAGATAAGAATCTCAGAGTCGCTGTGTGCCGCGTAGTTCAGTAATGCGGCTAGATGGTCGTTGTCTGCATCCTCCATTTGGTTCTCAATAACCACATAGGCATCGCTTCCTGCAACTTTGGCTAAGATGTCAACCCTTCCGCTTCTGGGCAAGGCTGTTTCTTCCTGCACCAGTTCCAGATTTATTCCCACTGTCGCGCTCAGCAAATCCAGATTCTCGGCTAACCAAGGCGTGAAATCCCGTGCTTCATCGGGCCATATATCCCTCACGGGGACTCGTTCCGGTTTGCTTAGTTCTGGTATGGGCATCTGGTACCCTCCTCTTGGGTCAGTCCAGCGGCATTCCCAGCAACCGCTGGCACTGCCGAAAGTTGTTGCGGACCTGGTGGTCGGCAATGTCCAGCCGGTAGAAGTACCGATGCAATGCTTCGGCAACTCCGAAGTATTGTTGCAAGTTAATGTTGGGGAGTTGCGTATCAATTTCCAGTGATGCCTTTTGCATACCGCGGTGCGAGTTCAGCGCTTCCCGAGTGTATTGTGGAGCGATGTGCATAATGACGTGTGCAGCAGCACGTACTCGTGCGGTCTTGTCTCGCGGTAAATAACATCTCCCGCCACGGCGCACTGGCAATTAGTTCCGTGCGTTTAGTCATCACTACGCCGGTAGGGCGGCAACAATTAGACTATCGACATAGCTCCGGGTCAGTAGCATCAATGCTCGATGTGTATCCAACGACAGGTTCCGGTTATAGAAGTGACCGTGAAGCGAACCTGCGGACCTAAGTCCACTGCGCAAATACAAATCGTACCCGTGCCTCTCCATCAGGTGTTGGATCACTACGGCACGCCTTAATGCCCCGTCCGTTCCTGTTATGAGGCTATGTCGGATCGCAATCGCTTGTATCGCATTGTGAACAGCGCCCCAAAGCATCTCGCCAGCGGCTGCATCTTCGTGTTCTGAAATCAAACGATCGGACAATGCTCTGTATTGTTGGGCTACATCAACACGCGCCTGTAAAGTCATCCGGCGGTTTCCAGATAACCGCGCAGGGTACTCACGAACACCCTGATGTCTGGGACGGAATGACGCATCTCCTCCCAGTCTTCGTAATGCCACCGGGCATTGTCCCTGAACGAACCGGCCGCGAAGTAGCCCAGAAGATGCCAGTTCTCTACGCCACGGTCATGCTTCTGGTCCAGCCATTTGGCGAAACGCATCAGATCTTCTTCATCGCTGTGAGGTCGGCCATGGCGTTCGGCAAGGCTGGACATCGCATGTTCCGCAGCCTGCCACAGCAACACGGATCCCTGATCATGGTCTCCCAACGCGATAGTACGGTCGGCTTGGTCAAGCAGAGCAAGTGAGTCGTCATTCATAGCCTGACCCCTCTAGCCCCATTATGGTGTGCAATCGACAGCAGGGGCGAACAATCGTCCGCCCCTACCGTTCTTGCCGTCGCTGTAACGTCGACGCTAACCGCCGTTCTGTTCCCACAGCGCTTCGAGCACCGCGCCGGGGTGTACTGGGCAGGTGGTCATCGCACGCCCGTAGCGTACACGTGATGGCGTTGGCGTATGGCGGCCATGGGCGGGACGATGGGCACCTCGCCACGCCGCGCACGCCCAAGGGAGGGATTCCCGCGGTGTGGGCACCTCCACCACCACGTGTCGATCATCGCAGTCAGCGATCGTGGGCATCCGGTAGTCCAGGAAGCTGGAGGAAGAGTTCTGCATCTGGCGTCGTCGTCGAAGTAGTAAACTCCTCGTCGAGCGCGCAGCCGATGCCCTGTCACGGCGCCGCCCTGGATCTGCCCTTCCCACGTAGACGATGGCGTTGCCGAGCGTCGGAGCGCGGTGTAGCGGCAGGATGTCCACCTTGCCGTGTCCATGTCCACGGCCACGTCGGCGAGGTCTGCAGCGCGTAGGCGCCGCCTCACGCCGTGGCGACACGTTGGCCGTCGACACACACGATGCCCGGGCCGTTCAGCCGCGGCGCCAGTTCATGAAGGTGAACCGCAGCTCCGGCTCCGACTTGGCCGGGATCACAGCCGCGGAGTACTCGCGTTTTCGGAGTCGATGTCCGAAGCGCGCGGCGCGGTGATCATCTGCTGCTTCACATCGGCATGCGCCGCCTCGTAGGAGGCGACCGTCTGGAAGGCCACGCCGCTGCCGCCGGCCATGGAGTCCAGCCCGATGGAGTTGGTGTCGCAACCGACGGTGCAGACGTCCTCGGCGCGAGCCAGCACCATCGGCGCGTGACATGAGCGCCGCCACGCGCGGGAGCCGCCGTATGATCCGGCCGAGCCTCAACCAGCTCCCGTGCGTCCGTCGAGCACGCTGACGAAGCGCTGGCCGGGCCGTGCCGTTTGAACCATAGCAGCCCGCCGGCCACGCCGCGGCCCACCTTCTTGCCCTCGGCTTTCCGGCGACGCGTCGATGGGAGAGTTCAGAGTCAGTGGTCGTGCGCTCCGGCAGCCTGGAGCGTCTCCATCCGCCGATGCTGCCGAACTGCGGACCCGGTGCACCCGCGGTCGCCCTGCTTAGCGCCGCGTCAGCGTGCGGACAAGGTCCACTTGTCCATGCCGATCTGTTCGCAGATCTCGTCGACCACGACTCCCTCGCTACGCAAGCCGCCGCCGTGCGAGCCTGAGCGCGATAGGCCGCCGTCTGTTTCAGCACCACGTCGGCCGCTCGATACGACCCGTCGTGGCGATTGTTGTAGCAGGACAGGCGCACTGCGCGCCCGGGTTCACCGGCGGCCGGATACGCGCCGGCTCGTAGTACAGCGCACGGTCGAGAACGCGGTGATCTGTGCCGTCGTGGTGGCGCATCTTGACGCGCAGGTAGACGCACCGAAGTCGGGCCCGTGCCTCTCGAGACCTCGAGGCGGACATCTGCGCTCTAGACCGTGCGCGGCCCGTCTGTCCGCGACAGCACGCCGCCGCCACAGGGGCTCCAGGTACACCAGGTCTTGCGCCGAAACCTCCGCCGATCTCCAGCTGCGTCATCCCAGAACCTTGGACAGCCGCAAACCCCGGCAATGCCCTAGGACGTCCGCGTCTGGTCCCGCACGTTGAAGTGTCCCCTGGGCTGTGCTGCACCAGACGTGCAGCGAGTGCCGTCGGCGTTCCACAGGCCGTGGCGCGTGGGCTCGATGTAGCCCGTGGTGCACCCGCCTTGGTGCGGAACTGCGCGCTCGGACGCCACGTCGGCGGCGGCGGCAAAAGCCGGCCTCGATGTCGCCTCAGCTCGTTAAAAATAGCGGTTGGGCACGGTGCCCACCTTGCGGCGTCGCCATCGCGCCAGCAGCCGCCGTGCGCGTGACCGCACGTTGGGGTCGTTGAGAGTGGCCAGCCCGCTCGTGGACGCAGCGGGCGTCGTCGCGCATGGCCCTCGAGCACGTCGGTGACGGCTCCAGCAACTCGTACTCAACGTCGATCACGCAACGCCCGCGTCGGCTCGTGGGCGCTGTCGCGGCCACCGCGGCGATGGCACATGCCCCTTGTACAGAGCCTTCTCTGCCGCCAGCAGTGTGTTCTCAGGAACTTGGGGTTGGTCATTGCCCCTCGCCCAGGTCCCAGCACGCGCCGCGCCCGCCTGCGGCAGGTCGGTCGGACGTTACACGGCTGTGCACACACGGCATGGCTCCGCCATTGCTGGTGTTGATGCTCTTATTCGCGGTCGCGGCGTGAGGACTCCGTAGCACCTTGCCGTTTAGAGCATCCGGGTCGACAGGTCCGGCCGTAATGCGCCCGGCCGGGGACCTATCGGGCCCGTCGTGGCGGTGGGTCGGCTACCGATTCGTTTAGCCGTTTGTAAGCGGCGGCGAAGCTGAGTGGGTGGTCATGGGTGAACATCGCAATGTGGGGGTGGGCCGCGGTGAATTAGCGTGATGGTGCCATCTTACCATACGGGCATGCCAGCACTGGAAATTGCCCCGGTTTGCCTGTTGCGCGCCCTTGGTTGTGTTAGAATCGCACAAAGGCCTACTCGATTCATACGTGACAGACCGTTGCCATTCAGCCAGGCTGCCGCATTCAGCATCCGGATGCCGCCCTCGTATGACCATAAGTCAGCCCGCCGCCCCGTGAATACGAAGCTACGCTGCGGGCTCCGGCACGATTTCCACGCTTTCCGTCGACTACGAAGTGGCGGCGAACAGTCAAATGACATAAAATCGTGCTCCTTTTATAAGAATTTTTCGATGTGAGTGCGCTATAATTAGCGCGCCGAAACCTCAAACATTGCGGTGACCGCTTGACTCGCGTCTGGCCCGGGTGCCCCGGAGGAAAAGCAGGACATGAGACCCCTGGAAGGCATCAAGGTACTGGACCTGACCCGCGCCTTGGCCGGTCCATTTTGCGCGGACCATGCTCGGCGACTATGGCGCCGACGTCATCAAGATCGAGCGGCCCGGCGCCGGCGATGACACCCGCGGGTGGGGACCTCCGTTCATCGGCGAGGAGTCCGCATACTTCCTCTCGGTCAATCGCAACAAGCGCAGCCTGACCCTGAACCTGCGCGACGAGCAGCCCAGCAGATCTTCCTCAAGCTGGCGGCCGACGCTGACGTGATCGTTGAGAACTTCACCCCCGACGTGATGACCAACTTCAACCTTGGTTACGAGGACATGAAGAAGGTCAATCCCGGCATCGTCTACTGCTCGATCTCCGGCTCGGCGCCAGCGGCCCGTACCGCGACCGGCCGGCTACGACCAGATCATGCAGGGGGTCAGTGGCCTGATGAGCATCACCGGCGACCTCGGCGGAAGACCCCAGAAGGTCGGCATCGCCGTGACCGACATCGGCGCCGGCATGTGGGCTGCCTTCGCCGTCATGGCCCGCCCTGTTCCATCGCAACTCCCCCAGCGGCAACGGAGAAGGCCAGTACATCGACCTCTCCATGCTCGACGCCCAGATCGCCTGGATGACCTACCAGGCTGGCTACTACTTCGCCACCGGCGATGCTCCGCAGCGGCTGGGCGCGGCCCATCCCACCCTTGTGCCCTACCAGGGCTTCAAGGGCGGGGACGGTAAGTTCTTCAACGTCGCGGTGGGCTCCGAGCGTCTCTGGGAACGGTTCTGCCGGGGCATCGACCGCACGGAGCTGAAGGACGACCCCGATTACGCCACCAATGGCGATCGGGTCAACCACCGCTCCCAGCTGGTGCAGATGCTGGAGGAGCACTTCCGGAGCAAGGACGCCGACGACTGGGTCGCCGACCTGCAGGCCGTCAGCGTTCCCGCCGGCCCATCAACGACCTGAAGGACGTTTTCAACGACCCGCAGGTGCAGCACCGGGAAATGCTCCTGGAAATGCCTCATCCGACCCTCGGTTCAATCCAGCAGACCGGCTTGCCCATCAAGTTTTCCGCAACGCCTGGCGAACTGGAGAAGCACCCGCCGCTCCTGGGTGAGCACAACCGGCAAATACTCAACGACCTGGGTTATCCGGACGCCGAAATCGACCAAATGGCTACCTCCGGAGTCATATAAATCCGGCCGGCGTGAGGGCAGGGAGGCAGTCGAAATGGACTTCGGACTCCAGGATACGGTCGTCCTGGTGGTTGACTCGCACCTGGCGATCGCCACGGCCACCGCTACCGCGTTGGCCAAAGAGGGCGCGATTCTCTCGTTGACCGCACCGGATAACTACCGGATGCGCCACGTTGAAATGGCGCTTGCCCGCAAGCACATCCCCCAGGACCGCTTCCGCGCCGTCATCGCCGACCTTGACCGTGAGCAGGACATCCACCGCCTCGTCCGCGCGACCCTGCACCGCCAGGGCAACATCGGCGTCATGGTCACCACCGTGCAGGACCAGGGCAACTCGCCGGCCAGCGAACTCGAAGACGAGCAGATCGAGCCGGCCCTGGCCCGCAACTTCATGTCCGCGGTCCACCTGACCCGCGAAGTCCTCCCCCACATGCGGCGCTACGGTATGGGCCGTATCATCAACCTCGTGCCCTTCTCCGCGATGGAAGTGTCCCCACGCAACACCCTGTCCTCCCTCAGTCTCGCCCCGGTGTTGGCCTACTTCAAGGGACTGGCCTCGGAGCTCGCTCCCAACAACATCACGGTCAACAACGTGATCTACGCCGGCGTGGACAGCGACGAGATTGAGGATCGGGCGCGCTCCCAGGACTACCAATCCACTGATGACGTGGCCGATGAGCAGGCGTGCGCCGAAGCCAAGTTGGAGGAAATTTCCGAAGCTCCCATGAAACGCATGGGCACGCCCAAGGAGATCGGCGACATCGTGTGCATGATCGCCTCGGCCCAGGCATCCTACCTCACCGGCGCCAACATCATCGTCGACGGCGGCATCCACCACAACTACGCCTGATCCTGCCGGGCCCTGGAGGCCTCGCAATTTTCCCAGGAGGCCCTCCGATGGTCAACGCCAGGATGTTGAACGACGCCCGCCAGTTCCTGCAGGCGGAAGACCTCCCCGCCTGGCTCATCTACGACTATCTGGGCTGCAACCCCGTCCTCGCCCAAGTTGCCCCGCCGTCGGGCCACGTAACCCGTCCCGTCTTCCTGTTCGTGCCCGCCGCCGGCCCTCCCGCGTTGCTCACCCACCACGTGGACGCCGGCAAATTCGCCGATGCCGGCGAAACCGAAGATGTCCAAACCGTCGTCTACAGCAGCCGCGCCACCCTGGAACATGCCCTGCAGGCCGCGCTGGACGGCTGCTCCCGAGTTGCCATGGAATACTCTCCACGCAACGGTCTACCCCGCGTCTCCCGGGTCGATGCCGGAACCGTCGAGCTGGTTCGCAGCATGGGCACCGAAGTGGTCTCCTCCGCCGACCTGATGCAGTACGCCACCCAGCGATGGTCTCCCGAGCAGTTGGCGGGGCACGAACGCGCCGCAGAAAAGCTGGGCCGCATCGTCAATGAGGCCTTCACCCGCATCGGCCAGCGCCTGGCCGATGGCCCCACCGAGTTCGAGATTGCCGAGTTCATCCGGCGGCGCTTCCGCGAAGAAGGACTGATCACCGCCGACGGCCCCATCGTCTCGACCAACGCCCATTGCTCTGATCCTCACTACGAACCCGCCCCCGAGGGGAGCAGCGTCATCGCCCCCGGCGATTGGGTCCTCATCGACCTCTGGGCCCGGGAGGACACCCCCGGCAGCGTCTACGCCGACATCACCTGGACCGCCTACGTCGGCGACACACCGTCCGAGCGTCACCGGCAGGTATTCGACATCGTCCTCGGCGCCCGGGACGCCGCGCTAGCCTTCCTGCAGGACGCTTACGCCGCCGGCGATCCCGTCCAGGGCTGGCAGGCTGACGACGTGGCCCGCAGCTACATTTCAGATCACGGCTTCAGCGATTACTTCACCCATCGCCTGGGCCACAGCATCTACCACACGGTCCACGGCGAGGGCGTCAACCTGGACAACTTCGAGACCCACGACACCCGCCGCATCATTCCCGGCATCGGGTTCTCCATCGAGCCCGGCATCTATCTGCCCGAGTTCGGCGTCCGCTCCGAGATCGACGCCTACATGAGCGAGGACGGCCCCTACGCCTCGTCACCCGTGCAACGGGATATCGTCCTGATTACGGCCCCGTGATCGTTCCCACGAAGTCCAGCTCCAGCAGGATTTCGTCCTCGACGCTCACCACTATCGCCACCCGTGGCTTGTCCATCCCGAAGCGCTCGAAGGTGAACACGATGCTGGCGGTCCCGCTTACGGTCCCGTCTCCCGGGAAGTCAGCCATCGCGTCCCAGGTAACTTCCCGCGTCTGATCCTTGATCGTTAGATCACCGGTAATGGTGAACTCCACCGGCCCGCTGGCATCGGCCAGCGACACGGGAAGGCCGTCTATAGCCGTGGGTTGGAACACTATCTCGGGGTAGGTATCCGTCTCCAGCGTGCGGTTGCGCACGTACCCATCCCTGCGGTTGCTGTCCGTTCGCAGCGTCGCTGCCTGCACCGCGATGCGGCTTCCGTCGGTGACCACGACCCCGTCGGCGTCAATGGCGATGCTCCCCGCCACGTCCGGCGTTTCCCCCGTGGCGATCTTGAAGCCGGTGTTGGCGAGCACCTCCTCCACCTGATAGCGGGCGATGGTGCCTTGGCCCAGCGTGAATACGGTCTGCCCCGCGGCCGCGACCGGTTCCTCCGTCGGGGTTTCGGTGGGAACCTCCGTAGCCGCCATCGCCTCAGTTGGAGCGGCAGTTGGGGCGGCGGCGGGTGCAGCTGTTTGAACGGTGGTCGCAGTGGCTGGGGGGGCCTGGGTTGCCGCCACCGCTGCGGGCGCCGAAGTTGCGGGCGCGGCCGTAACCGCCGGAGCGGCGGCAGACTCGGAAGCCGGGCCGCCACAGGCGACCATCAACGATGCCGTCAGGAGGACGACTGCGAACAGTGCAGCGGGCAAGGGAAAGAAGCGCATCAGACGATCTCCTAAAGTTATGCGAGGCGGGGTATCCCGTTGATTCTAACATTGCTCCCCTCGTGGGGCGGCGGTACAATCTCGCCAACATCCGCCAAGAAGGGAGCAAACTACCATGAAATTCGGCCTTGCCTACGAGATGCAGCGTCCCGAACTGGACGACCACGCCGTCATCGAGGAAACCATCGAGCAGGTCTGCCTGGCCGATGAGATGGGCTTCGACTACGTCTGGTTTGTGGAACACCATTTCCTCACTACCTTCAGCATGTCCCCCTGTCCCGAGGTCATCTTCGGCGCCCTGAGCCGCCTGACCAAGCGCATCCGCCTCGGGTTCGGCGTCGTCATCCTGCCCTATCACCATCCCGTTCGGGTCGCCGAGCGCGTGGCAATGGTCGACCACCTCACGAACGGCCGGGTGGACATGGGCACCGGGCGCAGCGCGGCCTACGAGCAGACCGGCATGGGCATCGACCCGCGCGACACCCGCGAAATGTGGGAGGAATCCCTCAAGATGATCCCCCAGATCTGGAACTCCGACTACTTTGAATGGGAGGGCAAATACTGGAATGTGCCTCCCCGTCAGGTCCTGCCCAAGCCTTACCAGCAGCCGCACCCACCCATCTGGGTCGCCGCGCTCCAGCCGACCACCTACGAACTCGCTGCCCAGCGCGGGATCGGCGTCATGGCCCTCGGCGTCAGCGCGCCCTCCGTGCTGGAGCCCCACATCGCCGCCTACCGGGAGAACATCAAGAACGCCCAACCCGTGGGGCAGTTCGTCAACGACCAATGGCTCAGCTCCGTGTTCGGCCTCTGCGGACCCGACAACGGCGCCACTCGCCGGCTCTGCGCCGACTCCCTGAAGACCTTCTTCGGCCCCGGCCGTCCCTACGTGCAGGACCAGAAGGACGTTTACGCCCGCCTGCTCGACCAGTGGGGCGGCATCCCCGAGCACCTGGAGCAGAACTTCTCCCGCTATGTCGACACGTCCGCAGAGGGCGATTCCGCCGACAGTGGCGTTGACCTCTCCGGCGGGACTGCCCTGGCCCAGAAGATCTGGGAGGAGTTCGACGCTGACACTCTGGCCGAACGCGGCGTCATCGTCGCCGGCGACCCCGACAGCTGCATCCAGGCCGCCAAGCTCCACGAAGCAACCGGCGTCGACCAGCTCCAGTTCCTGATGGCCACCGAAACCGTCGCCCACGACAAGGTCATGGAATCCATCGAGATGTTCGGCAAGCACGTCTTCCCGGCGTTCAAGTAAGCGTCGGCGGCCGGGCCGATCTCGCTGGGCGATCCGTGTGCTAACCTGAAGTAACGTCCACCAGCCCTACACGGTTACTGAGGTAACCCGATTGACATCGTATATCCTGGACCTCGATCTGCCGCCGGAGCACCCGCTGCGGCAGATCCTTGATGTCATATCTGCGCATCCTGAAGTGCGCGAGGCGGTCCTGCGTGTCCTCCTGACCGAGGATTTTCTGGCCCTGCCCGGTCA